AATTATTGGAGATAACAGGCAACAGGGTGTCTCAATTCATCGAAAACATTCTGGGCACTGTTCGGCTTGGACGGGGCATTTTTGAACGCACTAGTTCCTTTTGTCAGAAATGATGAACAACAGATTTCACCCAACTATGACTTGTAAACTCCTGTGAAACTGCGAACTGATGATAGTGAGCCAGTTCGGTTACAGGAACTCACAGGTCTTCACAAGGGAGTCCGTACAAGTCTAGTTGAGTACCATTTAGTGCCCTCCACCGAACCGAACTGCACCACATTTCGAGTTTACCCCCGTGTACATCTACAGATGGGAGTCTTACCTTTTTATGAAAGTTAGTGGTTGTGTATTGGCACAGGCTCCGTCACTCGGAGGGTTTTTTACGATTGACGTTGAGAATTCCGAAGGGAGCGTGGTTGAAAACAGAAGTGTATGTGCTCGTTGACTGACTCGTGGAGAAGAAGCAGATAAAGCTGTCAAAAAGTCCTAATAAAGCCCCTTTGTTCAAAGTATAGGGCAAGATTTGATGAGAATGTCGGGCGAGAGATCAGACCGTTGTATGACTTCTGTCAAAAGGATATTTTCTCGGTGGGGTGGTCCAGAGGTATTTTTTGAATATTCTGGGCGAGCATAGGAAAGTAAGGAAGAAAGAGGAGAGAAGGAAGGAAGGAAAAGACGGAAGGTGCAAGAAAAAAGAAGGAGAAAGAAAAAAAGAATGAGAAGGATGGCTTCGCGATTGGTAGATATCCTGAATTCGGTGCTCAGACGCAGTTTCAGTTCCAGCGGGTTCTGGCTGCTTTGCATCTTTGCTGACTATATTCAGTGTTACAAAATCCAGTCATTAAAAATTTTTGGGTATCCGTTGAGGCTATATGTCCGAAAATGCTCACAAGAAGGCGGTCGAAACCTCAGTTCAATGGAAGTGTATACCAGTCTAGGTTAAGAGATAGAACATTCAGCCCCAAGTCGGGCTAGAAAAGGCTGGCTGAGCCAGTGTACTGTAAGAGTGTAGTGAAAGGTGAGTGAAGGACGACAGAAGTGCAAGTTTGGAGTGTTACTGACATTCGTGTAAGGAACTCAGCGTACTCGTCCTCCTTTAAATGCATTAAGTGGTCAAGAACACAAACAATCGAACATCTACACGGGCACTTAGTAACCCCCTCTAGAATGTGTGAGTAAGTAACCAGTTTTTTGGGAGGCTCTTCACGGAGCGGGGGTGTGATTGGGAATGTGTTCCCTGAAGTTTACGACCAATGCCTCTAATTTTACCTTATTGCGGATCGAGTGGGTGAGCACAGTATTCAGCAGAATCCCGTTTTGGAAGAGGAACATAATGGAGCATGGCGTTTGTTGCATAGTAAATCGAGTTAAAGGCATATTTTGTTACTGCTAGTCTCCTGGGTAATGCAGTCAAATATGGATTTTAAGATGCTATTTGACTCAAACGGTCATGAAGACTACAGGGACCTTCAGAAAGTCAGCTCAAATTAAGCCCTCTTCTTGCAATTGATTTTGACAAAGCGAAACGCTAATCGGGCGCTACCGACCAAAAGCAATTCGCTCGAAAAGGCCTCATGAAAAAGACATTACTCTGAAACGTCAGGAGAAAAATTAAAGATTTGCTTACAAGCTTGCGGATTGCTGCCAAGAGAATACCCCCAAAACTTACTGAAGTATCCGCTGCGGCTTCTCACTGGTGCGGGCCACAACTAGGAGGCGGCTACTAGAGCGTAAATGACGACTTTTCCAAAAATTTTCCATCATTTTTCAAGCCGCGAAGTGGTCCAGGTCGGACGAGCGAGTTGCGGACCTTTCATCGCTCACTGAATAATAAGAGGTTCACTTGCAAGATGTCACTTGCCAAGCTGATTCCAATTATTCATTATACTTTTCGCTGCCGCGATTTAATGGGGCGTGCGCAGGGAGCGGCGCTGCATCACGGAGCCAATCAAGCGACAGTACTGTATCATATCAACCAACTATGCCGCGTGTAAAATGGGCACAGTTCATTGTGTTCCGTACATCTTGGCCCATGCCCTACCCAACCCACCCTTGACCCGCCCCCTCCAACTGGCTCTTCAGGTGATTCCGAATTTCCGGACAGACAGACAAACAGACAGGACGTTGCCGTTTATATTATTAGTAGCTATCAGATGTTTCTAATTAAGTTGTTGCCAATTATCCGCTTCAGCAGCGTAAGGAGAAAGAGCTGGCGCCAAACCCAGCTGCACTGACACGCCCCTTTCTCACAGACTAATCATGACCTGTAGATGGTTTTTGGTGCAAGTCCTTTGTCTGCGGAAGCGGAGCCGGGTCTGTGACTCGAACCTGGACCTTGGCACATGGGACTGTTTGCAGGCTGTGGGAATAATACCAAAGCTAGTGCTACGATAGTGCAGTGGACAGCAGAAGAGCTGGAAAGGTTGGGGTCCAGGTTCTGAGTAACTCATCATTTTCGGGATGGTGAGGAGACTCTGGAAACTTTTCACTAGCAAAACATGTGTAAATGTCTTTATAGCCATTATTATTAGAATATTTAACGGTCACCACAGAATACGTCAAAAAGGTATAGTCCATACCTAACAGCAAAAGAAGGCGTTCCCAAGCACGCCTTTTGACAGCTGCGATTGTGCAGACAGAAGAAAGATAGAGACAAAGGCATACATGAGTTAGAGCTGGCACGGGAATGCGCAGCCGTCGCCGAGCGTACTTGGGAAAGGCCCCTTCTGAGACGTCCGATATGGATGACCGTAGGACATAACTCACTTTAAACTCTTACACAGGTTCACTAACAAAGGAATCCATATTCACACAATAGAACGGTAAAATTGATCATGGCCGTCCTTGAAGTGCTCTGTAACAGACCTCGTGCAATAAAGGGCAGGTGCTTTTGTATGATGAAGAACCTTGATTAGTAGAAAGACAAGAGCACTGGAGCATAGTATGAAAGTAATGTTTGAAAATAGTGGAAAACATATTCTGAACAAGAACTTTAAGGCACAGCTTCCACCGACAATGAAATGCCAATATAGGCGGTCTCATTGGATCTCGCGTTCGAAGAAAACGTGCAAAAGAAACTGTGTGAATCGCCTTGAATGACCCACTCTTCTTGTTCGAGGCGAAGGGGCGCTCATATGCAGCAAAGAATATGAGCGCGCGTAAGAGAACAAGGACAGTGTAAGGGCGAGAGGCGCACCGAAAGCAAGACCATCTCCGTGCGACTCTTCCACAGGAACGCCTATCACCACAGAGCGGTCATCAATTTCCGTAGCATACCTGTCTTCATCTCCCTCAATTCAACAAACTGGTTAAAGTCTTTGCTGCAGCAACCACACGACGTGCGGCCCAGAATAAGTAGGATCTCTAATCGTGGACTCGTACCTTCAGAAAAACATTGACACAACACGAATATCGGTTCATGTGTACAGTGTATGAACTACCGGACAAGACGGGAACACGACTAGAATAATTTTCGAGAATCGGCAAGAAAGGACATACTCTTTCAAAAAGCGATACAATTCGAACTGTCATTACGAAAGAATATCCACTATGGAGAGAAGAGAGTGTCACCAATTCCTAAGTTCTGACTCTGGTGGATTTAAACAGCAGGCATTACTTATTAGTAACACGATCGCTCAAAAAGTTCTCGCGATTCCGATGATTACGTTGATGCGAGGATAATCTCTTTTATCCAAGGATGAGAGGAATTTCGAGCGACCAGTCGTTTCGCTAGGCGTGGGCACATTTAGTTGACTGAGAAATCTCGAGTTCTGAAGTGAAATCAATAGGACCAGAACAAATCTCTAGCCTATCATTGAATCAAACAAAGGATGGGAGGCTGAGCGCTTCGAGTACTACAAAATACTGGATTATGAACGTGAATCTTGACCCACCCTGCCCCTCACGCTTTTTGAAAGTGCCCGTAACGCACCAAAAGCCAGTTTCTTGCCCTTTCAGCCCAGTCATTTCAAAGTGTAATTGCTGCAAGGCTGTGGCGTGAAAGTCGGAACTGATGATGAGAGGATAAGGAGTGGCTTTGGTGGCGTAATGGGCAGCGCACTTGCCCGGTAAGCGTCAGGTGCGAGTTCGAGTAACCCTGGAGTCGATCCCATTTAACTTCAAGCATTTGTGTGTTGACTCGCTTCTCGTTATTCTTAAACAAGACCATAATCTTGCTTTCAAGAACTTTATAACTTCTATACTTCATGAAAACCCTTCCTATTCCGGCGTTAACTCGAATATGAAGTCGCCCTTGTTTTAATCAATGCGGACACCGGGAATCGTTTTCAACAATCGGAAAGGGGCGAAACCGACGAGCATCACATGCAGAAGCACACCCAGAGACCACACATCCACAGCAAAGCCGTACCCTGAAAATAAAGTTGATTCCGTCGAAATTACCCTTTGAAATACAGTAACACTCGAATGTATTCGGTAAAAAGTTGTTCGGGTTCGGTAACTGTCTTTATCAAACTATAACCAAAATATTCAAAATTTGACTGCCCTTCGGCGCCTCTTTGAGGGGTGCTCCCGGAGTCCAAAGACAAGTCTAATTCAGTGACAGCGGGTCAATGGAGCATGGGTTTTGGCGCGGCGCCAGCGAGTTTCCCGTCGGCCGTCGCCTCTTCGGGTGTTCAAGTGGCAGTGAAAGGGCTGCCGCCGCGCCAAAACCCACACAAAGCTGATGGGCCCGTCTGACTTCAGTGATAGTAATTTAGTGTAGCATAGATCAGTAAGAACCGGAAGGATGAGTCCACACCTGTCTCTCTGAGTATCTCAGGTGCACAATAAGTTGGTGTTCCACAAACACGATACAATGGTCCAAGAACGGTACACGCCAGTCCGAAATCGCACAATTGCACCTGAATTGGTAGAGCTGTTGAGGTCGAAAAGTTGTGCGGATACTGTAAAACTCACCTGCTTTTTGCTGAAGAGGAGGAGATTCTCAGGTTTGATGTCGCGGTGAACGATTTTTTTGTGGTGGAGGTAAGCAAGAGCTGAGGCGGTCTGGAAGCAGGATAAATTGTTCGGGTGGACACACACTTTCACGGTCTGCATCAGTCGTTTATCGTGTGGGATCCAGCGCTGCCTAAGGTCGATTAGCCTCTTTTTTTGGGGTCGGTGTCAGGAGGGGTGCAAGGAGCTCACCCGTGGTCGGGTATTCTGCCAGTAGTGGCCGGTTCGCACAGAAAACTGTCAGCGATAGGAGGCGCCATGAGTAGGCTCATTCCAGGCCTCCCGACCCTGTTCCTCCTGATTACGACAGCACAAATGTCGGAGATTGGTGAGTATTTGGGGTATTTCCAAATGGAGCAGTAAGTTACACTAACCTGGCCGGTGAACAATGCAGCATCGCACTCCGGTAGCCTTCCATCTCGATGTATCAGCTCGAATAAGTCGCCATTCTGAAACAAAATCATCAAGGCAAAGTATCTCCCTTAAATTTTCTTTTTTTCCCGCTGATATAGATGATGCTATTAATGAAAATTATTGTCGAGAATGCAAGCGCATTTGAGGGGGGGGGGACTCATCTCAGGATGGTGGGGCCTCCCCCAGTAAAAGCCAGCAAAGCTCCCCTTCCTACGGATAGGGAGCTGATAGTGTCTGCAGCGTAGTGTATTCATGTTCAATTGTAACCTTGACCTCCTTGAGCGGCGGCGGAACAAAACCCAAAAATACCAAGCTGGTGAAACTTGTAAGGCTAGTTTTACTCC